ATTGGACAAGTCTCACGTGAACATTCAGTCAAGAAGACTCAATTGAGTCTATAAACGAGGTAAGATAGAGCCGGATAGTCTTCTTGACCGAGTGTCAACGTGACACTTTTACAAGAATGACACCCAGTTCTGATGATGCCCATCATTTGATAGACGAAAACTCAGCACGTTTTCACCCGAAACGAGGGAGGAAGTCTCGTGGACTGCGTCCACACACACTCTTCTCGTCTCTCAAGTTGACATGCCCATCTAATGCTAGAGTACTTGGATGACGTTCATGTGTGTGTGTGTGTGTTGGTTGCTATCCTCCATTGTGAAACAATTCACCAAAAAGATGTTATCATCCAGGATGGAGCAAAGTTTGGGCCTCACTTAGGTCTTATCAACATCTTATCAATAACCATGACAGTGCAGCGTGTAAACTCGACACGTTAACCCCTACGCCACATTGCCACGAGTGTACTTGGGTCACAGGGCAGATGTGAATTCCAAGGAATGTCAGGCATTTTCCATATCCCATTCTGTGTTTTGCTATTGTCGGTGAAACAAACTTATATTTGCTAAAGCGATCGACGACATTACTTTTTTCGGGAGTCAGTAGTCTTTCGAGATAACCAGTACATATTTTACTTTTGATGGTAAATTATGCGAGGTAACAGGAGGTTTAGCATTGGCATCGTGTTCGTCTCCAGATTTGGTTAATAACGACATAACTCAATTGGAAGTCCGGCTTCTTGAAGAAACACTCATAGTTCCAAAAGTATGGGTCAAATGGATGGATGACTACTTTGTTAAAGGGCAACACAAACAAAAAGTGTTTGGAAGACTCCCTCGGGTTAAAGCATAGACTAGATAATACGATTAAGGGAAAGAAAGGAAAAGGACAGTAAGTTATCCTTTTAAGATGTTGTAGTTATTAAAAAAGAGAACAAACTGGGTGGCGATGTGTATATATGAAACCCACAAATGTTGGTTGTCTTCTTAAGTTAGTCTCGAATCATACTTATGATGTTAAATTAGGAATAATGAAATCAAGGATAAAAAGGAGTTTACGTCTAGCGGATGTAAATTACCAAGAACAGGAGTTATGAAGGCTAAAAATTTTTTAGCTGAGAACAACTATCCGGTAGGATTAATTGTTAACAATTTCAAAATATTGAAAGATAGGGTGACGGAAAGCCATTATTTTGGACAAAAGCAGGAATGTGATAGCTCTTCGGCCAGGTTCCTAATGCTACCATCCTGCAAGATTTCAAGAAAGTTAGGTGAAATATTGAGAAAATGGAACGTAAAGACAATGTATAAATAAACAATAACGCTTTCCCCGATCATGCCTTCTTTATGGAATCTTCCAACGCCCTCTGCAGATCAGGTTGCTATATGGTTTTGTGCTCATGTGGTAGTGTTTATGTGGGGGAGACTTGTCGACACATACAGAAGAGGCTATCAGAGCACAGAACCTCCTGCAAAAGTATATGGATTCAGAAATCGTAAGTGGCTGATGATTTGCTCGCTGCAGGACACCAGATAGAGTGGTACAAATCCCAACATTTTTCCGGACTTCACAGTTAACCAGAAGGTGAGAGAGTCGATTGAAATTAACAAAAAAGCATCTTGAATAAA